CATACATGGCCCAAACCATTTGAGGATTATGGAAATCTTTCAGCAGTTTTGCATTCAGAACTTATTTATCCCTATACATTATCTCTGAGCACAACCTTTGACTGACAGAATTTCTGCATACAGTACTCTTTTTTTTCATAAATGTGTGATGATGTCATTTCTTTCAAATGTACACATACACTCCCTTTTCCCATGATTCCTAAAATAAAAATGCTGAAGCTCTCCAGTTGTAATAAAAGTTCCCAGAGGCATTTCAGAATCTATTTCAGCTTGATTCCACTCCATTTTTGAATATTATAATGAAATAAGATTTTCTCACATCAGGATACATTTTGCAAGTTAATGTATAAATAAAATAAACCTCCTTTGTTCATCTCGTGTTTGGCTTGATGTCCTCAGCATTTTACCAGTGATGTAACCCACTCTCTCAGGATATAGTTTGAAATATTTTTTTTTCTTGTAAGCCTTCCTTGGTTTTAAAATGAGAACTTTGTGCAAAGAAATATTCTATTGACTTGGAAAATTAAAAGTGAGCTCTCGTCTTTAAGCTGCTCCTGGCATACGTCCAAGAGAAACTAGTTTAGGCACACAAAACATGCATAGCAAATTAGTATTCATGTACCTAAGTAATAAAGCTCTACAAACATATCTATCCGAAACACTTTCTAGTTTTGCAAAGGGCAAACACCCACTGTTTTTAACTCATCCTGAGCCTTTTAAATTTCACAGTGCCCTATTTTGTATAATTTAATCAAAAAATAAAAATAAGCTACTTACCTCTTTTTTAAAATCCCGAGGTTTCTGAAGTCTCTTGTGCGTCTGCTTTAGGATCTGGAGTTGAAGGTAATTCACAATATCCTTGTGCGCATAAATAATAACACTGGAGTATGAGCTTCTTTAAAACAGTTTCTGCTTTGCTTAATCCTCCTAGAGCTTAATAATCACTTGGAAAATACATCTTGGAAAGCTGTGGAGTGTGAGAGTATTGACTGGTGACGATATACTACAGTAGAAGAGTAAATTGGTTACTTTACGGTTGGAGAATCTGGTTCTGCCTGTTGGGAGACCTAGTCTTGCTTCCAAGGCGGGCCATTCTATTATAATTAGGCAATACCAGGAAGTGCTTTTGCTTGCCTCCCTCCTTATTGTACTTTTTTCCTTGCAGTGGAAATACCTGTTACTTCTTTTTTTTTCTTTTTTCTTCTTCTTTTTTTTCTTTTTTTTTTTTTTTTTCCTTTTTTTTTTTTTTTTTTTGCTTTTTTTTTTTTTTTTTTTTTTTTTACGGTTGGAGAATCTGGTTCTGCCTGTTGGGAGACCTAGTCTTGCTTCCAAGGCGGGCCATTCTATTATAATTAGGCAATACCAGGAAGTGCTTTTGCTTGCCTCCCTCCTTATTGTACTTTTTTCCTTGCAGTGGAAATACCTGTTACTTAATACGATTTCATTCCAAAAAATAAATCCTCCGAACATTAGATTCTTGGCATACAAACTGCAGAGAATTTATTAAATATATGCCCTCAAAATGAGTTAGGAAACCACAGAGAGCCCCCCTTCAGCCCCCCCCCCCCCGAAATTCTCATGGTGGTTCGCAAAAAGGCCTTATGGTGCATTATTTAAACTGTTATGTTTATTCATATCATGATCTGATCACCATACTCAATATATCCCATATGCATGGGGGTATTGGGGTAATGATACAAAAGGTTTGCTAGGCTAGACCCTCTTTCACTCAGACTCAAGCCCCCCCCCCCCCAAACCACCTGAAAAAAAATCAGCCCCCCCCCCCCCCCCCCCCCCCCCCCCCCCCCCCCCCCCCCCCCCCCCCCCACCCACCCCCCCCCCCCCCCCCCCCCCCCCCCCCCCCCCCCCCCCGAAACGAAATCCTGGCTACGGGCCTGCTTCCAGTGTTTTCCGTTGGTCATGGGAGCCAAGTTTGGTTCAAATCCATCGCTGGTGGAGTTCAGAATGCTCTTTGATTATAAGTGAACTACAAATCCCAGCAACTACAACTCCCAAATTACAAAATCAGTCCTCCCCCAACCCCACAACCATTCACATTTGGGTGTATTGGGTATTTGTGCCCAGTTTGGTCCAGTGAATGAAAATACATCCTGCATATCAGATATTCACTTTATGATTTATAACAGTAGTAAAATGACTGTTATGAAGTAGCAACGAAAACAATGTTATGGTTGGGGGTCACCACCACATGGGGGACTGGATTAAAGGGTCACGGGATTAGGAAAGTTGAGAACCACTGATCTACATGCATGAAATTCTTCCATCTGAATGCATGAAGTGGGTTGTTTTTACTTAGTTTTGTTCCTTTACATCTCCGTGGGAGGGTATCCAAGAAAACACACTATTTTACTAGCCCTGTCAGTCTTAGTTGTTGAATAGACAAAGGTTTGAACTCTTCAGAAGAATAAATCTTAATATACAGTGCATATCTGCTAGTCTGAAATTAAAATCAGTGTGAACAGTAGAATCAGATATGCTCCCTTAAGTTCTTTGGGGGGAAAGGTGAGATATAAATGTGAAGCTTGTTTCCAAAAGGCACCGAATCCATCTGAAAAATTTTCACAGGAATAAAATAAAACGTGTTGAGGAAATGCATCCTTTTGCTATAAAATGCAATTTCCCAAGCCCTGTACTGATTTAATGTGATAAATTTTGATAATTTTGATATGTACATAATATTCTACTCCAAAGGAGCTGCGGTGGCGCAATGAGTTAAACTCTTCTGTTGACTGGACTGCTGACCGGAAGTTCTGAAGGTCAGCAGTTCCAATCCACAAAGACAATTGATAATAAAAACCAGTATAATTGAAAATGTGCATAGGCCAGACACACTTGGATTCAGAGTCTCTGTCTCTCCTGTTCCTTCCTAGATTACCTTTCTGCCTTTAAACACACTGTGTAACATCCCTTGTCTCATTATTAGAAAGATAATAAAAAATATGAAGGTCGCATTTTACTCCAACAAGAAATGCTGGGTAAGCGTACTAAAAATATGTAAAGAAAATAGCCACTTTGCTATTCTGCTATCATTTCTATGGGAGTAACTCATTCCTATAAACACCAACTTCTGTAGCTTATGTGAGTTGTTCTGCAAGATGTTCTTCTACTAGTACGTGCATCTTTTTAAATTAGTTTCATTACTATTGTGCAATAGTATATGGCGTGGTGTGAGCTAAACCTTTAATTTGGAGAAGACACCTTCAACATACTAAAAAGGACTTTAGAATCCTACCTCTCAATATTATTAATAAACGTGTTCCTTGTGTTGATTATCTAAGCATATTATATTCTGAATTCTTGGTTGCCTGGATTTCTGGTTACCCTCTTGATTCTTTTGCCTAAAATGTCGGCATCTTTCTTGAAGCCCTGTGACATGGTATTTTTCCATCAAAGAAACTGAAATATTATTCTGACTGCGTTATGGATATTGTTCAAAGATTTCAAGAAACCTGAAGTACTTGCAGCTGAGCATTTTGATCCTTGGAAATTACAATAGTAGATGAACTCATTCTATCAGCTGCATAGTCTCAAGAATCTTTCCTCAGGTACCTGCTGTGCCTTTATCTTCCACTGATCTACCAGACTCTTTGTATACATGGGACAACCACTAGAGCCTGCCTGAACTGATAGGTTAGAAGTCTTTCCCCCCTGTTATCTATGCATATTTGTCTGTAAATTTAACCATAATACAGTTATACCAACTTTAGCCTATAAAGCCCTAAACGGTTCGGGCCCAGCCCACTTGAGGGACCGCATTTCCTCCTACTAGTCCAGTCAAGCCCTGAGATTATCAGGAGAGGCCCTTCTCTCAGTCCCACCACCACGGCAAGGACATTTGGTGGGAATGAGAGAGAGGGCCTTTTCAGTGGTGGCCCCATGGCTCTGAAACTGCCTCCTTAGAGAGGTGCGATCAGCTCCCTCGTTGCTGGTCTTTCGACCACAAATGAAGACTATTTTATGGATCCAGGCCTTCTCAGATGACTTACAACAGCCAACTGCCAGATAGGTGCTGGTAATGTCTACATATGAATGTTACATTGGCCCTGGTAATGTTGTGACATCGCCTAATGAAAATGGAGGTTTTTAGGATCTTAGTATAACCTGTTTTTATGGATAACCTCGGTGGCCTGAGGTTAGGGAATTTTAAAATATTATATGTTGTAATTTATTAATTTGTTGTATATGGGTTAGGTAATGGGTTATCTTCTTTAGTTGCTTTATGATGTTTTGTTGAATGTGTATTTTATGTAATCTCTGTTTCTTAATCACTGTACGCCACTTTGAATCCCACCCATGGGAGAATAAAAATGGATAAGTAATAATAATAATGTAGAAATTATGTGTGCAATGAAAAAATACAACTGTTAACATTTTACTCTGTGTGTGAAAAGGTGGGACTGTCTTTCCTTTTTCTTGTAACTAGCAGGCCAAAGTGAGCTATATTGCACCTAAGAATAATCCACTATGCCTTCCATTGACATTTCATGTAGGAATATCACCCAGTTTGGTTATTCCTACCACATTAGCAATCATTTGATTTCCAGAGTTATTAAGCACACATCCTCATATACATATTCAGGATTTAGAGGCGTGGGGGGCAGCCAAGGGGCTGGAAAAGGAAAAAAGAGAATGGACAATTCTTATATTTCCAAGTGCAGTTGTCTGGATCCAATCTCCTACGGATAGTTTGAATTTTAAAAATGTACTGTAAGTTTTGATTCAGTACTAATATGCAGTTATTAATGATGTTCTCTGAAAACTAACCAATCTAAATGAGACGTATTACACAGAAGAATAATCAGAAAATAGGCAGTACTGGAAACAGTAACCGTTCCTTATCATTTCTCTTCTGTTACTCATATGAATTCAGATTTTCTGTATTCTAATGCTACTGCTTTTTGAGTGGACTTGAATTTAACATTATACAGGTGTAAGCAATCCTAATACATTTTCTCACCTTCTGGCACTCTTTTCCTTAGGTTAGCTAACAAGCAGGACAAAGAAGGTGCCTTGGCAGAAGCAGATGTAATTGAGTGTTTATCTCTTGAAAAACTTGTCAACGAACACAAATGCCTCTGTCAGATCGTAAGTGCATTTTAATAATATTAACTTCCTTAAACCTAATGGTTGGACAGAATGTTGGCACTAGAATTGTGTGATCCTGTTGTTTTCTTCTGGCTTGCCAATAGTCATATTCTCTTGTCTTTGTGCCTCTGAGCTCTGTTTCATTTCAGCTAGACTGCTGAGTAGGACTAATTTTAGATTTCGGAGCAGACAACTGTATGGAAGAGTCTGTGGCAGTATCTGACAGGTTTATTACTTAAAACTATTCCTATAAAATACCCATCTTTCAACGAAGGGGGGAAACAACTTTGAGACCAGCAACTCAACTCATCCAGCATTTAATATGTGCATAAGGGTTTTTGGTGTGAGTATATTAGTGTTTGCATAAACCAGATAGTATGGCCTCACAATCCCCTTCATGGCTTTTTTCAATCTCTGGGGAGTGAGATATCTACACAGATGCTGTGTCATATTAATCTTGGCATGTGGGAGTTTCACTTTAGCATAGTTCCACATCCATTTATGTGTTATATTAATTCTGATTTGAGAATATCACAATCCACAAACAGCAAGATGTGAGATTACTTTGAACATGTGTTTAAGGCAGTTTTATAGGTCATCTGCATTTACATGAGTGATAACGTGATGCATTTCACTTTGTTCATGAAACTTCAACATTCATTCCTTTTAAATGCCAGAGTATAATTTGTATAATGCTTTGAAATTGTAATAATGAGCTCATATGCTGAGCTATGATGGCTATATTGCCCAAGTGTGGTTACCAAGAAATAAGAAACAATAGAATACTTACTGGGACTCCAAGGATCAGAAAGAGTTATGGGGCAAACCTTCCCAACTCTAAATTGCTCACTTTTCCATTGATGTCTGATGATGTAGCTGGTTGACTGAAGCACTGGGCAAAGATACCCCACAATGCAGCTTTTAATAATAGATCCCATTTGTTCTTCTCTTTTAAAAGAGAAGAAAAAAACTTGATAAATTCTTGTTATCTATAGCCTCTTATTTGCCCCTCCCCCCTGGTGGCACAGTGGGTTAAACTGCTGAGCTGCTGAACTTGCTGATTGAAAGGTTGGCAGTTTGAATTTGGGGAGCAGGGTGAGCTCCCACTGTTAGGCAGAGCTTCTGCCAATCTAGCAGTTCGAAAACATGCAAATGTGAGTAGATCAATAGGTACCGTTTCTGCACTCCATGCAGTCATGCTGGACACATGACCTTGGAGGTGTCTATGGACAACTCTGTCTCTTCGGATTAGAAATGGAGATGAACATCACCCCCTGAATCAGGCATGACTAGAGTTGGTCAGGGGAAATCTTTACTTTACTATAGCCTCTTTAAACATTTATTGTATCAAGTCTTGAAACTGATCCCTACAACTTGGTTGTTCAAAAGGGTGTTTGGGATATTTATTGGAGCAGCTTTTGAAAAAGCAAATCTCGGGAGGTGGAAATCTGCATCTCTGCTGTCTTTGGGTTGTTTGTATTCTGTAGGGTTCAATGTGTGCATATGCGAGTTCCCACTGACAAGTGGATAACACTTGCACAAGAACTTTGAAAGCTCACTTATTGGTGAGTTATAATTCCATTATTCACACAGATCATACTTTCAGAATATAATAATACAACTGATCTTTCTCTTGTTTGTAGGAGCCTTGCTCAGCTATCATAGGTTATGGGAAAAAAATCGACAAGTCTATCAAGAAGGGTTTACTTTGGCTGTTACATATTATAGCTAAAGATTTTGATGCCTTACATGAACGAATTCAGAAAGACACCACAGAGCAAAAAGCAGCTGAAGAACAAGAGAAACGTGAACGGGCAGAACGAGTGAGGAAGATACGGGAAGAAAGGTAATTTCCGATTCCATTGTACAAAAGATCTGTAGGGAGTTTTGAAATGGTTTAATGCTTGTTTATTTATTTAAAATACTTTGTATCAGTAATGTACAACAATGTACAACAATACAAAGCTGAAAAGCTAGAATTCGATGTTACAACATAAAAGTGAACTAAAATATATGAGTGAATCAGCATGACTTTAAAATGTATTTGAGTAATGATAAGAACAATATCATTGTTATTTTAACGGTTTAGAGAAAGAAAAGAGAGAGAAGAAGCTGAACGTGAAGGAAGGACCATTTCGGATGAAGTAGATGCTGAGCTAGTAATTGGCAACCCATTCCAACCTATATCAACTGTAATTGCTGAGGTACTGGAAGTCTGTATTGTATAATATATATATATATACTGTATTTTATAAAATATGTGTTATAAACTGTTACAAACCACACATTTGAGTCTATTACATGCTGCTTCTGAGAGAGAAATAGTGTTGATGAGAAATACTTCTTCCTGTTCACTTTCTCACTGAATACAAGAAGTCTGTGGTCAGCAAATCAGCAGTCTTCTCTTCCAATATTAAATGTCCTGCATTAGTGGTTTATTTTGTTGTAAACAGTCTGGGGTATTCATATGGGTTGGAGAAGATGGTCTGTAAACCTTAAAATAAACCTTTTACAGGATATAGAATATTTTAATGAATGACTCACAGTATGAATCTTGTGCTGTTTTTATTTGGAAGAAGTTTAATATTTTTATATCTTTCTCATTCAACTTCTTTGGAGTAAATCTCTATTTATATGTAGAAAACTAAACTAAACCAACACCAATGAAAATATTTGCACAGCTGTACTTCTAAATTATTTAATTTAAAAACAATTAAACTGTAACACTACGTAACAGTCCTTTTCCATATCTGATGTTTTATTCATTTTCTGTCCTTGATTATCCTAGTAGGGAGGATGGAAACACATCCCAGGCTTGGAGAAGAGTTTCTTTCTTTTTCTCTACCTTCCCCTCCTTCCCCCTCCATAATTTGTTTGTTGTTTATAGAATTGAATGAAAGTAATTTGATCATATGTGGTATGAAATCCATAATAATAATAATAATAATAATAATAATAATAATAATAATAAGTCAGATATGAGATCAAATACAAAAGCCAGCATAGTGAGCTTGTTTGCTGTGCACTAATCTTGTTGTGCATCTAATAATAATAATAATAATAATAATAATAATAATAATAATAATAATTTATTCAAAATTTTTAAAATGTAAAAAGTTTAATATGTGAAATGTGTTTCAACCATTGTTTGGCTTTTTCTCTGATATCCCCACATATATTCCTTCGGATCTTCTCTATTGCTTTAGTAAAATGGCATTTTTTGTGCATTGACAGAATGAAAAGAAAATTGAAAAGGAAAAGAAAAGGCAGCGAGAAGAGAATGAAAAGGAAGCCCTGGTTTTGAAACCAAAAACAGACCAAGAAAAAATGGACACTCAAAGCTTGATTAGCCAACAATCGAATGACTGCAAACTAGTAGAAAAATATAAATGTGCACTTTCCCAACGGTTGGACCATGAAGATGAGAATGACCTGCAGGTGTCAGAGAGTCTTGACTCTGGTGATAATGCCATCTTAAATCCAGGAACAGGTGGGCTAGAGTTCATGACCACAAAACATAGGATTTTTCAAGTACTAACTTGACTTACTATCCATCCTCAATAGATTCTTACATGTACCCCTTCTGCTGTGTAATTTTGCTGTGTTACTTTGTTGTGAATATATTCTAAATATATTGTTATTTTTACACTTCTCCTTTTAATATCTCCTTTTTTTGATAAGAAAAGTGAAGTAAAAATTAAGTACAGAAATATATACATTCATAAATAAAAATAATCAAATGACTACTGCTGTTTCTGCATTCTGTAGAGAACAGTAAAAAGAAAGCAAAGAAACTCAAATTGAAAAGGAGTCACCGAGTTGAGCCAGTCAGTACAGAAGATGCCATATCCCCACAGCCAACACCAGTAACTCCTCTTGCACCAGGTGAGGAAAGATGGTTGTTAACAATTAACATATTCATTTACCAAAACTGTTGGAAAGGTATTGTTAAAGTTACAGAAAGGTATTTTTAATGTGAGTTATTTTATTGTTGGTTCTTGGTTTTTTTGTACACAGGGAAGTGTGTATATTTCTGCTAGTACAGATTTTCTTTAAAACCTAACTTGTGTCATGGGCTATTTGTTCTCTAGAGATGCTAAAGTAGGTGGGTGTTTTACAATTGGGGATATATATTCTAAATTAATTACTTTCCATAATTTTCAAATTGATTGCTTCAGGGTTTGGACAGATTTTCTTTCTTGCTCAGATACTGGTCACCACCAATTACTTAATGATTGCTTTAACTAAAATTTTATTCAGTGTTGAGGTGTCTTTAAAATTCTAATCCAGTCTTTCTTGTCTTCCTCTGAACAGCTATTTTATAGCAGTTGATTCATAGGATAATAATATAGTTGAAAGAGTCCAACGCCCACCCCCCCCCCCCCCCGCCATGCAGGAAAAGCACAATCAGAGTATCCCTGACAGATAGCCATCCAGCCTCTGAGGAAGGAGCTTCCACCACACTCCGGGGCAGAGCGTTCCACTGCTGAACAGCTCTTACAGTCAGGAAGTTCTTCCTAATGTTCAGGTGGAATCCCTTTTCCTGTAATTTGAACCCATTGCTCCTGAGCCCTAGTTTCCAGGGCAGCAGAAAACAAGTCTGCTCACTCATCCATATGACATTCTTTCACATATTTATACATGGCTGTCATGTCTCCTCTCAACCTTCCTCATATCAGGTTTATTCAGATAGATTACAGTTCCTAAGTGTTTAGATCAGAGCTGTGACCAAAATAGGTCAACATGTTAAATATACACCTTGCATTCAGAACATACATTAAATTCTAAGGTATCCGTTAATTGCTACTTTTGCTAACAATTTGCATTCACTCTTGTGCTCCAAAAACATTGCTTTGTGGATCTTGAATGCTATGAAATAATAACCTGTCACAGTCATAGAGGTACAATTACTTTTGTAAAGCCTAGTCTGACTGATGGGAGTTCAATAAGTATTCCCTTTTAAAAAGTTTGAGAAGAGAAAATAACTTTTCTTGTGTAATGTAATTTAATGAAAATATTTTAATTAAAAATTAATATTTCAGGTCTATTAAGTACAAAATATAGAGCAGCACCCCAAAGAGGAAATACCTATTGAACAGCAGACTTCGTAATGAGATCGACTTCATCATATCAAAAGTTTGACCCAACAAAAGCTACAAATAATCAGGAGGAAGAAAGTGTTTCTATACAAACATTATGAATATTTGTATAGCAGCCCTTTGCTCTTGATCATTTGTACTTTTCGTTGGGCCATATAGTCTGTATGTTTCCTGAAGTGATGTTTTGAAAACATGTCATTAATAGTGCTACCCCATGCATGCTTACAGTACTGTCCCATATGTGCTCCCAAGTAAGTGTGTCTAAGTCCTGGGAGCTTTTTGCAACTTATTTCATTTGATATGGTATCAAAAAGCAACATAAGGGATGTATAGGAAAGATGTTTCAAACTGCATTATATGGCAGTGACCGCTTTGAGTCCCCCTAGGGGTGAGAAAAGCGTTATATAAATACTCTAAATAAATAAATAAATGGGATCAGTGTTATTTTTTTTTTATGCATCTTGGCTATCAATCACAGTTCCTAATCAAAATAGCTAAGTTTGCAGCCTCAGTGTTTAGAGATGTTGCATTCTGTTCACTATTGAATTCCAACTAATACAAGTCGATTTAGATGTCTGTGGAGAAAAAATGAACTCTTAATTTCTTCTGCATCTGCCCTGCTTACAAATTTTTCAGATAACAATTGGTGGGCCACTGTTGGAAACAAAACCTTGAACTTAGGTTATCATATATAGTTATACAGTATGCCTGCTTTGGGGTCATTACATATCTTTACACAGTTTTCAATAGTTTTCTTTTTTGTGCATTTCTCCCACCAGCCTAGATGTTTTCATCCATCTTGGTTAGATTTCTGGTTGATACTGTGATGTTGGTCTTTGATTTTTTTTCCCCCTGTAGTTGGATGGGAAACTCCCAAAGTTAACAGAATTCGAAAACTTGAACCTCTTGGTGAAACGCGTCATAATGGTAATTTCAGAGGCACTCACAATTTTCTGCTTGTCCTCAGAAATCTATTCCATTTTGCATGTTGGCTTCTTCCTTTCATTTCAGCTAATCTTGTGCTGTTTTAATAGCATTTTTTAAACATTTTTTAAAAAAAGCTTTTTATTGTATTTGCCATTTAAAATAACACGTAGTCTCTGTTTTGTTTGTTTGTAAACTATTTGCCTTATTCAGTTTGCTTCAGTCCAGATTGTTGCTCATTGGTGTGTCCCTGTACCATCATTTAAAATTAAAAGAACTCCACAGTGATAACAGATCCCAGTCCATATATTACTTTTATAAAAAGGCTTACTGAACTGACTACTTTGGTCAGTTCAGGAGTAAACTAGAAGTTTCATAGTATCAATTGTCTGTACATATTGATAAGATCATACATATAAACCAGCTGCTAAATTTTACGAAGTGAAATCTTGGAACACATCTAAAGGTCTTAGAAAGATAGAGAAACCTTTGTGGTACCTGGATCATAACTAGATAATGTGAGCATCTATATAAATAATTGTTAAGAGCAAATTGTAGTTCTATATTAACACTGAACCTCATTTGTTTCATATAGTAGTTTCCTCTAAATTTTATGAGTACATACAAATAATATCTTTCATTTTAAAGCTGTGGTTCTCAACCTGTGGGTCCCCAGGTGTTTTGGCCTACAACTCCCAGAAATCCCAGCCAGTTCACCAGCTGTTAGGATTTCTGGGAGTTGAAAGCCAAAAACATCTGGGGACTCAGGTTGAGAACCACTACTTTAAATTATATCAGGCACTTAATACAACATTCTTTACAATGCCTTCTCCATTATTTATAAATGGCTAATAGGAGGAAACATTCCAAGACTTTTGCAAGGATTGTACATTGTTTGTGTTGTAGCATGGAAAAGTGTGTTAACAAACTCACAGTTCAGTGGTGGAGCACATGTTTTATATACATAAAATCCCATGCTGAATTCCTAGATAAAGGACCTGAGATGAGAAAAGACGAGAAAAAAACATAGCTGAGCTGCATATAATGCTGGAGCAGAAGGTTGCAAGACATAAAGACAGCTTTCTTCATAGATCTCTTGATTATATTGAAACAATAAGATCATTTTTTCAAGGGATGCTTGGGATGGCAAACATAAATACATATTGTAATAGAGCACTTTTGTAGGCCACTGTTTGACAAATGGTAATAACATCATTAATAATACCGTACATTTTTCTTTTAAAGGGGTTTAGAAAGAAGAAAGCAAGAGAAAAAAGGCAGACCAAAAGAGGTAGGGAGGAAAAGGAAGGGCCTGTGTTTCACAATTGTAGTCCCTTCTTTTTTATAATAAGGTACCCTGATTTGTAGCCCCTGGTAATGCAGTGGGTTAAACTGCTGAACTTGCTGACCGAAAGGTTGGCAGTTCGAGTCTGGGGAGCAGGGTGAGCTCCCGTTGTTAACCCCAGCTTCTGCCAACCTAGCAGTTCAAAACATGCAAATGTGAGTAGATCAATAGGTACTGCTCCGGTGGGAAAATAACGGTGCTCCATGCAGTCATGCTGGCCAAATGACCTTGGAGGCGTCTATGAACAACGCTGGCTCTTAGGCTTAAAAATGGAGATGAGCACCACTCACCAGAATTGGACACAACTAGACTTAATATCAAGGGGAAACCTTTACCTTATACATTTTTCACAAATTTCTTACATTTTGACCTGCATTTTGTTGTAAATGACAGACTAGGAGCATGAAATGCAACAGATAATTATCAGACATGCTTTTTGTTTTACAAAAAGTTTGGTTTTTTATGGCAGTATAATTATATTACTTTATCCAAAGGATTGAATTGATTCATGTATCTCTTTCTTACGGAAATTGCACAGTAAATAATGTAGGAAATACTTAGCGTCCTGCAATACATTATTAGCTTTTCACATTTGAGAGTTTCATGTAGTGTTCATTATATTTAAAGACAAGAATTGGGTTATAAAAATACTTTTCACCTATCCTGAAACAATTTTGGCAAACTAAAGCAACATACATACATACATACATACATACATGGCTTGAGATCTATTTTCAGTGCCACTGAGAATCAGAAAGATTCTAAAAGTTGCTTGCATTCCCTTTCCCTCTGTTGTGTTCTGCTGAGTGTACAAACCAATCTCTTTTCTTTTTCAAACTTCATAATGTTGCATGTACTAAGCTTGCATGTATAAATATGCCTCTCTTTTTCCAAATGTTTGTTTAAAGATGGATGTTGTGCTTCTCTCCTAACAATGATAGGGGAGGTGGGTGTTATTTTCCCCTCTCAAATCCTGTTTATGCAATGAAACATACAGCATTGTCTTAAAAATTGTCCAAATAATTGATTCAAAAGAGTACAAAGATCTTTGATGCTAGCACAACATCACTGTGAAGGATATCCTGGGATATAGTTTGATGCTGTTTTTTATCTGGCTGTGGGGGATAATCTAGAAAAATTACAAGGAGAGGATAGATGTTTTACTAGAAAATCAGTTCCTGAGATTTTTTTTTCTCTTCCATACTACTATCCATTAAGTAGAAAGTAACTTGCAGTGGCAAAAATAGTTTGGGGTATACATCAAAACAACATAGCACACAGCCTGCTTAGATTTAGGCCAATTTATATTTTTATCTTTCATATTGCTCACATTTATTATCTGTTGAATCTATTACAATTTTCTACCGAGCTCTTCGGTCATAATGAAATTTATAGGCTATTATTGTGTTAGCATTTTTAGCAGACGTATAGTATCTGTAGTTGTTTCTCTGAAATTGTATAAAATTTATTGGTTTAGGTACATCTATAATAATTTTGATTTAGATAAGGAATGTCCATTACAAAACAATATCATTGAAAGAAATTGCAGAAAATGTCACCTTAAAACATAGCAAATGTATATATTGTGTTATTATAAATTTTGCCTTGAGGTGTTCACTAGAATATCATTAAATCATATATAGCTTGTTTCCTCATTTAAAGCAACAGCCAATTCCACACTATTAGTGTTGTGCCTCAAATAGCTTGTGAGATAGTGTCATATCTGTTAACACTGTTTCTTTTCTAACATGTTTGCTAAGATTTCTATGGGAAGCCATTGCCTCCGCTGACTTTACGGCAAAGACCAAACAGCGAAACCCATGATGTCATTTCTTAACACAGAATTAATTGTGGGAGTTTTAAAGGAGCATGAAGACCTGTATTTGGCACTGTTTGCTTCCTTGGGGAGGCACTTGTTACAGTCACTGGTCAAGGACGTGCAAGATTTCCTTTGGATCTGTGCCGTGAGGATTGCTTCCATGAACTTAATTTTCCTAGTTCCTGCAAGGTTCATGTGGAACAAGAAAACTCGTGTAAGCGTACCTCTTGGGAAATAAGAGCAAAGCTTCTCACTTGGTTTCCTTAATTTAAATGAAACGTATAATCCTGAACAGTAACACTTTCAAGTGGAACTTGACTGTGCACACGTAAGGACTCTTTTGCAGTTAGTCTTAGTATGTTTCTATATTCAATATATTTTGTTTTCCAATATGCATGCTTAAAAGGGAAAAAGTATGAACTGTACATTTTACTTATTTTTATATTTTTCTAGTACTTTGCTTGTTTTTAACAGTACAATTTGTTAACAGAACTATTTTGAAATACTGATATTCACAGCAGGGCATACTTGGAAATGTCGTGTTTTTGCAACAGCAATACAATTCACATGTGATTTGTTGTCTAGCTGTTAATATGTTGTTGTTTTGTCTTGCCCTGATCCACTGGCAAGAAATATGTACACAAATGGCTGCTGTAGTTATTTCCCCAGGCAGGATTTTTTTCCCAAGAGCTAGCTCTGTGCATAGGAAACTACAGGTAGAGACTCTGGAACAGTACTAATTATGAGAGAGAAATATTCAACCCTTTCCTATAAAGTTGCTGCTGATCTCCATGAACTTTGCGGTTTTTGTGCACAGGCTCAGTTCCTAGAATCAACTTTTCAGCTTGGTGGAATACCCACATACCCATTTGCATTCCCTCCTTTTAGTTTGGGGTTTTATGATCGCAAGTGATAAATGGAATAATATTTGAAATTACTGTGATTCTTTTCAAGTTTCAAGTTATTTGATTACCTTATATAATCAAATAAGTTTCTATTCCATGAAACTCTTCAGTAAAAATTGAAAGCGGTTTAAACATAATTTATCAGGAATTCACCTCTTTTCTGTTTAAATCTTTCCATATAACACTAAAATTCGCTTTGCATACTTTTTTTTTTTGCATGTAATGTACACAGAACTGTTTTATAATTAAAGGCTTTCCAGTACATGCAAACATCAGGCAGCTGTGAATGTGCTTGCCAAGTGTGAATGCAAAGCAGCCCTAGCATTAAAGCGAACACAAAACCCTCTGCTCATGCTGGAGTAATAAGTGTACATTAGAGCCATGTGGTAATGGTTATGTTTGGGCAATGTATTGTTAAGCTCCCTTGTTCTTCTGTGCTGTGTATGTTTCAGTTTCATTTGAAGATAATAACTTCTACACTGTGAATAAAACTGACGCAATTGGAGTCTCATCATTGCCTATGAATTTTTGTCATTTTGCTTGTAATATGAAGGAAGTGTTATGTGAAATACAAATTCAAAGCCCTTCTGATTTCCTTTACACAGGCTGGAACTATTTATCATTTATTCAAATGTTTTACAACCTACCTGAGTGTTAGCTTTTGAAGACTACATGCTGTGGTTGTAGGTTTTTTTGGGCTATATGGCCATGTTCTAGAGGCATTATCTCCTGACGTTTCACCTGTATCTATGGCAAGCATCCTCAGAGGTAGTGAGGAGCTCACTACCTCTGGGGATGCTTGCCATAGATGCAGGCAAAACGTCAGGAGAGAATGCCTCTAGAACATGGCCATATAGCCCAAAAAAACCTACAACAACCCAGTGATTCCGGCCATGAAAGCCTTTGACAGTACATTAATACATGCTGTACTCTAACAGGCTAGGCTAGGATTGTTAAATACCGTAGTAGTGCATTATGTTAAGAGACAGTTCCCAGATGAAACGATACACAGGAGAGTCTTCAGTTTTTTCCTCAATCATGAGACGTGTTTCTAGCATACCACCACTTTGTACTATATATGAGTTCCATTTTTGTTTGGAATTATAAATATACATTAGTTTCAGCAACAGATTGCTGTATTTTTCTTCTTATGTCTGCATTATAATGAATAATGATATTATGTAGAAATGTTTTGATTAGCTTACGTAGTCCATAAGTGAGACTTAGGCAATGCTTTTTTCCCCATATCTGTATCTGAAAGATTCCCTACAATTTCCATCATCATTGGCTCTGCTAGCAGAAATTGAAACCCTCCTAAGAGTCTTTAAGAACTGATATCTTAAAGAACCAGAGCAATATACCTGCTATTCTTGATCTCATGATGAAGAAAATTGACATGATCTGCAATGAACAGCTGGACTCAGGGTGAATTCTCATCAAGAGCTAAGCATTAACCTGCCATAGTCACTTACTGTGAGTGAACTCTTTCCAAGCTAAGCCAATACATAACCAATGCACAAGTTTCCTTACCAAGCCCAATAATGTCTCAGTAAGGCTGTCATCCATTCTTCCATTTAACACAGCCTTCCATTATTTGTGTCACTGTGATATATAACCTAGTGATCTCCAGCCACATTTTATACATCTTATGAAATACAGTAATCTCCAGCCACATTATGCATCTGATGTCTTCACTGTGCCACATCTTGAAGAGGCCTGACTTAGGGATACTGTTTGGGTGCAAGAAGGCAATGCAGATCTGTCACACAAGATCTAGACTAGTGTTTCTCAGGGGTCGGGACCCATGGGGGGGGGGTTGTGTGGGGGGTGTCAGAGGGGTCGCCAAAGACCATCAGCAAACACAGTATTTTCAGTTGGTCATGGGGATTCTGTGTGGGAAGTTTGGCCCAATTCTATCATTGGTGGGGTTCAGAATGCTCTTTGATTGTAGGTGAACTATAAATCCCAGCAACTACAACTCCCAAATGTCAAAGTCTATTTTTCCCAAACTTCACTAGCGTTTACATTTAGACATATTGAGTATTCGTGCCAAGTTTGGTCCAGATCCATCACTGTTTGAGTCCACAGTGTTTTCTGAATGGAGGTGAACTACAATTCCAACATTCAAGGTCAATGCCCACCAAACCCTTTCAGTATTTCCTGTTGGTCATGGGAGTTCTGTGTGCCAGGTTTGGTTCAATTCCATCGTTGGTGGAGTTCAGAATGCTTTTTGATTGTAGGTGAGCTATAAATCCCAACAACTACATCTCCCAAATGACTAAACCAATCCTCCCAACCCCACCAGTATTCAAATTTGAGCTATTGGGTATCTGTGCAAATTTGGTCCAGTGAATGAAAATACATTCTGCATATCAGATATTTACATTACAATTCATAATGGTAGCAAAATTGCAGTTATGAAATTGCAACGAAAATAACTATGGTTGGGGGTCACCACAACATGAGGAACTGTATGTATTAAGGGGTCGCGGCATTAGGAAGGTTGAGGAACACTGATCTAGACTTCTTTAAATAACCAGAAGCAGCAGCATAAGCTTTCCAATGCAAGAAATCCTGATATGTTGAATGGCAACAAATCCCAACTAACAGAGTATGCATCTACATTAGAATTAATGCATTTGGACATGACTGCCATAGCTCAGTGCCACAGAATCATAGGAGCTGTAGTTTTACAAGGTCTTTAGCCTTCTCTGCCAAAGAGTGTTGTGCCCCACCAAAAAGCAACTCCCATAATTCCATAGTATTGAGTCAAGGCAGTTGAAATGGTATTAAACTGCATTCACTTTGTAATATAGATGCACCCAGAATGAGGATGCAGATAGGTTTGCAATACCATGAGCTATGGATTTTCCTGAACTGCACCATGAGGAATGGAGATAAACAGGAATCATTCTCTCCTTGGGGTCGTATTTATTATTATTATTATTATTATTATTATTATTATTATTATTATCATTATCATTATTAATTACCCCTCCCTCTTTTCCCCTTAAATTGAAACATTAAATAGGAACATTAAAACTGTATTCCTTAAAAAATCTGAGACCTTGAACTACAATTCCCAGGTTCTTCCAGGACTTGCCCTTGTTTTCTGAGAGTTGCAACTTTCCACACTCCTACAGAATCCGGATTTCTAAGACGAACGTTCCTTAAAGGGACCGCTGCCTTTTTCCCTCGTCCTAGCAGGAGGGGATGCTACGCATGCGCACTCTCTCTCGTCTTTGGAAACGAGAGCGACCCGGAAGCCGCTTCCTTTGCAAAGCAGGCCCGGCCTCTAGGAGCCATGCCTCTGCTCCGATTCTCCCGGGTGAAGCCTTGGGGGACTCTTCGGCTGAGAGAGATCCACTCTGAGGTCAAGAAAAAGGTGAGGCTGTCTTCAGGATGGAGGAGGATGCAAGAAGAACCGTATGACTCTAACCTTATAGCTCTATGTTCCACTCGGATTGCTGTGGCCACATCCCGAGGAACCCTGGGATTGGTAGTTTGGGGAGGAGCATTTCGAACTCAGCCATACAGCATTAGCATCTCACTAAACTACAAGGCCCAGAATTCCAAGTATCGCGTTGCAGTGGAATGCAGCACTCCACCAATGTTGGAAGGCTCCTGTAGAATTAATGTAGCTTGACACGTTTTTAAGTGCCATGGCTGAATGCTATCATGGGAGATGTAGTTTTGCAAGGTCGCCTTCCCAAGAATTCTGGCTGTGGCCATGGCAGTTCAAAATGGGGTCAGAGTACATTAATACTACAGTATAGATGCCCCCTGAATTTCCAGTGTCACAAAATAGATCTTAAGATACATACAAGCGCTAAATGTTGCTTTCTTTTGTCGAAGTAGTTTCATGATAGTTGCTGTGAGTTTTCTAGGCTATGTGGCATTCTCTCCTGACTTTTCGCCCACATCTATGGCAGGCATCCTCAGAGGTTGTGAGGTCTGTGGGAAACTAGGCAAGTGGGGTTTATTGATCTGTGGATGGGAGAAAGAACTTGTCTGCTCGAGGCAAATGTGAATATAACAATTGGCCACCTTGATTAGTGTTGAATGGCCTTGCAGCTTCAAAGCCTGGCTGCTTCCTGCCTGGGTGCGAAGTCGCTTCTTAACCATTTCCAATATCATTTCAGTATTCAAGATATTCATGGATGAGCTCCCTCTAAGCTCCACGTCCTGCATGCAGGGACATAAGAGAAGCCTCCCACAAGGATGGTAAAACATCAAACATCTGGGCGTCCCCTGGGCAACGTCCTTGCAGATGGCCAATTCTCATACACCAGAAGGGGCTTGCAGTTTTTCAAGTTGCTCCTGACACGCACACACAAATGGAAGGCAATGAGACTTTGGTCTAATTGCATCTCCTGTTATGAACACTTCTATAATGATCTGAACATTGTGCCATCTAAGAGACTTCACTCGAACTGCAATGCTGTACTAAGATTAGATCAAAATCAAGAATGCCGCTGGCAAGTCAAGATATTTGAGATGCATCCTTTGGCACATTCAGAAAAATCATATTGGGAGATGACTGTGAAAAAGTGTGGCCCTGTCAACCTCCTAAGGAGCCACGCAGTCTTAGAAGCATCACTTCTTTGTTGAGATAGAACAATCCTTTGTTGAGGACTGTAATGACACTACATATGGTTAAAGTATACCTGAGAAACAGCATTTGGCTATCATTGATGCATGATTTCTTGTGGTTATCTTCCCCAGTTGGAAAGTAAACCAGAAACAAAGCTTCGAAAACAAATATGTCAAGTTGTTCTTGATCATTTTGAGAAGCAGTACTCCAAGGAGCTGGGAGAAACATGGAACTCAGTCAGGTGAGTGTTCAATTCTTTCTACCCACTTGATCCTTCATGCCTCGTCTGCCACTTTGGTTCGTAAAATAATTAAAGTATTCCTAGCAGATCTGCACAGAACTCACATGAATAGGACAATCTGAAATACTGTTTCTTCTGTCAGTACAAAAATAAAGATCAGCTGGAATAATTAACTTTCTTGGAGTCTATGTAATAGTCTTTTCCCAACCTAGTTGATTTTCAACTGAACAACTCCACACTTTAAAGTCAAACAAATGCATATTTTGTTCCCTGTTTGTATTGTTGATCAATGACAATACAGGAATCAATAGTTCTTACATATTGTAGACCAGAAATAGATTTATAGATCTGCCACAGTTCATTTACAGGGAAATCCATAGGTTCATGCACCCAAGTAAACCCCAGTTTGGTGACAGATGTGTGTTGCTACTTCATTCAATTTGTACTGCCACAATTGGAGCCCACCAAACTTGTGTTTCCGTTTTCACCAATGTTACCAGTCGTTTAAATGCTTTATAACACGTGTCTAATTTAACTTCCATATTTATTAACTATTATCAGCTTTCAAAATGCACAGTTGTTTTTTTAAAATCTATTTCACCATACACACTGATCATAATTGGCAAAATATCTATTTTGCTAAACCATGAAAGTTTGGTATTATTTTTCTTGTCAAAGAAATTTGAGAGCAACATTTTTACTATATGTTGAAGAATTGCTTCACTACTAACTAGTCTTCTTCTTTCTTTCTTTTTGACATTCAGAGGAACTATCATTAGACCCTGGCAGTCCCCAAAATTTGAAATTTGGTTCATCTGTATGGAGGTTCAAACAAATAATGCAGGAACATTTGGGAGGTTTTTTTTTTTCAAGAGCAACTTGAGAAACTGCAAGTCTCTTCTGGTGTGAGAGAACTTGCTGTCTGCAAGGATGTTGCCCAGGGAAAACTCGGATGTTTGATGCTTTACCATACTTGTGGGAGGCTTCTCTCATGTCCCCTCTTGGGGAGCTGCAGCTAACAGAGGGAGCTCAATCCACTCTCCCCACATTCAAAACACTGCCCTGTCAGTCAGTAGTCCTGCTGGCACAAGGGTTTAATACAGGCATAGGCAAACTTTTTTGTCTTGGTGCCGCATTGTGGGCCTGGCCAGGAAGACTGAGCTAGGAGGGATGGGGGCCGGGCACACACTCAGTGGGAAGGGCCCGGGAGAGGGCAGAGCCATGAGGGGGAAGGGCCCAAGGAATTCTCAGTCCTCTGGCTGTCCTCTTGGCATTATGCTGGGAGGAGGGCAAGACAGCCCACAGCTTAGAGTTCTCCAGGGGGCTCTCGGCTGCCATGTGCCTTCCTCGAGCCATCCTCCCAGCATAAGGATAAGGTTGCTCACACCGTCCTTATGCCAGGAGGAGGGTGAGGCTCATGTTGGCTGAGAGCACTTCAGAGAGCTCTCAGCTGCTACGTGTCTCCTCCCCCCCCCCCCCCCCCCATCTTTTTGGCATAAGGACACAGTGGGCCATTATGTCCTCTGCCAAGAGGACAAGGAAATTAGGAGGGCCTGAGGTAAGCACCCAGGAGGCATGGGCCATTTGGGAGTAATCTGATATAAATTAACAAAATGTGTTATGTGTTTGTTTTGATCATTGTCTTGATTTGATCCACAAACTAGTTGGAAAGTATTATTTCCTAGTCTTGTAGGATCATGCTGTGATTTTTTTTCCAGTGCCAGCTCTTCCTCTCCCAGGCTCAGCTTTCTACTAGGATTTGGAGAGGTGTATTTTCTTTTGCCAAACCAACCCTTCCGTGCAATATAGGACTTCTGATACAGAATGAAAATATAGATTCCCGCCTAGACTTTCTGTTGAACTACACCAAAATTTCATGCCCACAGCAGTGACCTGAGTAGCAATGGAGTGGCAAGACAGAAGAGAAGAGTCCTTCTATCTATTGGTTGACAGTTACTCATTCCAGAATATTGACGGAAGGGGAATATCCTAGCTGCATGCTGTTGGGTCTCATTTAGTATAATTAAACCAGATGCCGGCTCATACATGCAACTGAATCTATAAAGTCCAGTAGGCCCTTTATTGGGGATTGAGGGTGCAGGATTCCCTTTAAAGTTGAAAAATGATGAATTTCAGAAACACATTATTATTATTATTATTATTATTATTATTATTATTATCTCCAAAAACCTATCCATCTCCCCTGTCATGTTCAGCATTTTAAAATTTTAATCATTACATTTGGCCCCGCCTTAGTTTTAAATGTGTCATGGTGTTATTGTCTAATGTTTATTGCTATTGTTTTAATGTTTATTGCTTGTTTTATGAGTTTATTTATTGTTGTATTTGTTATGCTGCTGTTTTATTGATGTGTTGGGCCTCGGCCTCTTATAAGCCGCACCAAGTCCTTCGGGAGATATTAGCGGGGTATAAATAAAGGTTTATTATTATTATTATTATTATTATTATTATTATTATTATTATCATTATTTATTACCACTACTACTACTATTACATGTACATAACAACATTGCATACATGCACATTAGGTCCATGTGTCTGAGATGCATCTCTGAATATCGGGCTCTTCCCAGGGCCCTAGGATATTAGAGATATTTTCGTAGAATATGCTCAGTTCCGAGAAGTGCTGCCTTCTACAGCATGTGGATTGATGTTCTGTCCAAATTAAGGCTTTTCAAGTGCTTTTCAAGTGGTACCACTGTTTTCTCTTTTGCCATAGTCGTCCGACTCCAATTTGTAAGTCCTTGAATTTCGTGATTTTTTTTTCAGCTCTTTGTCCTCAACTCTACTGTCTCCTTGTATTGCAACATCTATAATAAAAAATGTTTCTGTTCCCCAACCATTATATCTGGTATGTTATGTGGCAGGTGCTTATGTGTTTGGATTCCAAAAATCCCAGAGTACTTTTGCTCCTTTGTTTTCCGTGGTCTTTTCCAGCTTGTGCTCCTACCAGGTTTTACTGCAGGGTAGGCCATACTTCTTGCAAAGGTTCCAGTGCACAATTGCTGCTAGCCTGTTGTGATGTTCAATACAGGCAGTATTTTTCAACCACAAATAAGGTGCTCCGCTGTCTCATCACTCTCTTTGCATAAATAGCATTTTGAGTCATTGTAGGGCTTTCAATTCTTGTTTTTATTGCATTAGTTTGTAAGGCTTGCTCTGATGCAGCAAAAATCAGGCCTTCATTTTCCTTTTTTAGAGTTCCCCTTCTAAGCCTGTTGTTGTTGTTCTTGTTCTTGTTGTTCTTGTTGTTACCTAGGAATCTCTTGATCCTTCAGTATGACTTTTTGGTCATCTGGAGGACCTGGAGATTCCCAGAGAGAACCTATTAATTAAATCCACAAAAGCTAAACCTACAAATGTGGAAGACTGACTATAGATCTTTCTGATTACTTAGCTAATTCTGTACCACTCTAAGTACAGAATATTTTTCTTTGTATTTTCACTGATGCTACCACATTTTGAATATTGATGTTTTCAATAAGAACAATAATGTCTATATTTCTTCATTTATCTCCAGGGAAGTGCTTACATCACCCCAGTACTGGCAGTATGCAGCTCTCCTCAATAAATTCAGCCTTTCCTCTGAAGTGGAGGATAATTTGTGTTCGAAAGGTTATCGCCTCCTTTTTCCAGAAACCTCATCTTTCAAATGTTACATCTGTAGTACTCCTGGTAGATTCCCTGCTCAGAGACACAGAGCCGGAAAACTGAAGGAATACTACCTGCTGAATGCAGCATCATTACTGGCAGTGCTGGCCCTGGAAGTGAAAAACGGAGAAAAGGTTTTAGATATGTGTGCTGCTCCAGGGGGTAAATCAATAGCAACACTTCAGTCTGCTTGGCCAGGTAAGCCACTGCTCTCTGAAACCAATTAGAAGATACACAAATTGGCTGCTAGATTGCTCAAATAAACCATTAAGTGAGCAATTCAGGGCATCCATTAAGAAAACTCTCATGGCATTCCTTTCCCCTATTGGAGTCAAAAGCCAGTGCATCAAGAACTAATTTCTATCTTAAACACAATCTGCATATTATGTCCTTGCCACCCGGCACCAATTTTCTTGTGCATTAGTTGTGTCAGGACCCTCATAGAGGTCCTACTATAAAAAAGTAAAATAATGTCTATGCCATATATTATATAGCACATGTTATGTAATGTAATGCCTAACTGCTGCAGCATATTAATTATATTTTTAGCTAATTAACAGATGGGAGTTAGAGTTCATGATAGTTTATGAGAACTGCCAAGAATGTTTCTCTGCACCTGAAAATATAAAGAGATGGGAAACAGGGAGGTTTGGACTGAGAAGAGATATCACCAAGGTCAGGTTCTCAGGGAAGGCAGTATTCAGAGCATGATGTCATGTTTTTATTAAAGAATCATTTTCTATAGAGGCCAGGTAAATGTAATGGAAAGGATGTCAGCCAATGAAAATATATGCATTCAAATTTTGAAATGCAAAGCTTTTATAAACTAGTATACAGCTCTTTAGCCCTGGCAGCACTAGTGTCTAGTTTGCAGAGACATGAAATGGAGGGACTATATTCTACATTTCTACCAAGATTATATTATTGGCAGTGAGAATGGATGTATTTCAACAACTGTGTGGTTCAATTAAAGTTGGAAAAGAATCAGTGAGTATTTCTAAAAATCCACAAATCATTGCAGAAGTAATGAAAATTACAAAGCACATTATGGACTACCATATAACCTCTGTTGAATTAAGGCAGCACACAAATAGTAATACTGTGATAAATTTTAATATTTCATTTTATCTTATTAAACACAATAATAACATTACATATTAATATAACAATAATAATATTGTGATAAATTGTAATAGACTGTAAACCTGAGGGCAGGGAGTGGTCTTGTTGTTCTTTTACTTTAGAGTGCCATGTCCCATCATCAATTCCATGATTGTACTCATTGTTTGATGATGATGATGATGACATAATGAATTCAATAAGCAAGTTGTACGAACTAACCAATGTCTACTGCAGTTGGCATGTGTTTTGAATGATCGTCTGTATTGAATGTACTGTATTGAAAAACTTCTAATAAAAATTATATATAAAAAAAAGACATAATGAACAGCAAGCTACATGTTGCACTGGAGCCATATTTGATGAAGCTTCCAAGTACCCTTGGAAAGCATTTTCCAACAGAGTTAAATCTGGTTGGAAAGCCAGATTGTCTCCTGAAATTCTCTTTCCCAAGCTCCTTTCAACCTTGAGCCCAATGGAGGGCTGGTTCTATACTACCATATAGTCTAGTTTCAGAATACAGATTAACTGCATTGAACTGGATTATATGGCACTGTAGACCCATATAATCCAGTTCAGTGCAGTTAATCTGCATTCTGAAACTAGACTATATGGCAGTGTAGATCCAGCCAAAGGGACAGTCTCCCTTTAACAGTACCCTCACCATACCTGATCCACTACCTAACTATCTTGGCCACCCTTATTCACATTATCTCAGAAATACATTTTTGGATCCAACATCAGTAAAAGCAGCATAACAGTGCCATTTCATGAGAGAAATAACTGGCAAAATATGGTGGAATCTTTGCTTTTGTCCTGAAGATGCTTTGCAACACATAATATGTATACATTTCATTACACATTGCTGTGATGGAATGTGTTTTGCCTGGTAGCTGCTATATTTTTCAGTCATTGTGTGTATACAATGGACCTTCCATATCTTCAGATTCTGTAACCATACATTCAAGCATCTTTGGCTTGAAAATATTAAACATTATATATAAGGGACACCATTTTACTACCATATTGTATATAATGCAACTTGAGCATCCACAGATTTTGGTATCCACAAGAAGTTCTGAAACCAAACCCCTCTGGGTAACAAGTACTCACTCTGTGTGTCTAAATATATATTGGAAAAGAATCATGTTTATCTATCTGGATCAGAGGAAGGTGAATCAAATTCACTCTGCTTATTTGGCAAGAAACAACCTGGCTTGAACACATATCAATTAGCTGATTGTTGGACTACTGTTGGATGTCACATTTGTACAATGAAAAGAAATTACTAAATGGCCCTAATTCTTGCCATAACATTGTCTCTGCCCATTGAGTCTGATGTTGTGCTTATTGCTCTGATTATAAATTGTCAGGCTTGGTTTGCACAATAGTGGGAAAATTAAAGATCATTCTTCTTCAGGTCTTCTACACTGCAATGAATACGATCATTTGCGATCACTTTGGCTGAAGCAGACCCTAGAATCATTCATTCCAGAATCTGTGATGAACACAGTTGCCCTTTCTCAGCTGGATGGACAACAGATTGGAAATCTCCAGCCTGAACATTTTGACAAGGTATCTCTACAACTGCTGATAACTTCATGGGTGTCATCACAGCTATCTCAGTGGTAGTTCCTAATTTTCCCTGTAAAAACTAGGACAAACAGAGAGTATGTTAGCTTATGTGATCCATACTGTTTTGTTCAGGCTTTCATCCATAATTGGATATGATATCAAATATCACATCCTATAGGTAGCTTGCTCATCTAGTTCAAACCACTGTTCATTGCAAGTTATAATGAGAACATCTCTGACAGACTACCACCCATGCTCTTTTGAAATACTTCCAGCAATGGAGAGAAAACTTCTTTCCTGAGGCGGTCTGTTCCACTGCTCACAATATTTGGCCCTAGGAAGTGTCTCTTGCACATTTATACCAAATGTGCTTTCCTGTATTTTCCATCTACTGATTCTGCTCCCTACTTCCATATGTTAAATAGAGTCCTTTCTGCAGTGTCTATTTTAATGCCCACAGGAAACTCATGAGTGAAAAAATGGCAGAATTTGAGGTCCAGGATTCTCATTCTACCTCCTTTTTTGGATATGGTTTTCTCCAGAGGGGCTGATTTCCATTTGTGTGTGGTGTGTGCCATTTAACTATATAGGTTGCAGAGGGAACAGTTCATTCCCTGGCTTTGGGCCTATAAGTCATTCAGAAATGCAGTCAAACTGTGTTGTCATGAGCAACAGACAATAAATCTCATCCGTTTTCTATGTGACAATGCTTTCAGCATCATAAGGCTAGGATTTCCAGAGACCTTATCATCTTGTTTGCCTGCCTCTGGACATAATCCAGTGCGCAAATGTCCTTAAAACATGGCATTTGTAACTTGCCAATTCCAGGCTTGCAAATACAAAATAGAATGGAATTACTTATCGGGACACCATCCTTCTGTTAATGTAGACAGAGGTCCTTTCCAAACAACCATATAACCCAAAATATCAAGGCAGAAAATCCCACAATATCGGCTTTGAATTGGGTAATCTGAGTCAACACTGCCATATATTCCAGTTCAAAGCAGAAAATGTGGGATTTTATTCAGCTGTGTGGAAGGGATCTAAGGCTGCACTCGTTATTTAGCTGAATCTTCTGATGTGCACAAGTTGCACAAAATCATTTGATTTTCTTAATAGGCAATTTTTCAAAAAATTAATCTCATTTTGCTGAGAAAGTTTATCACAGGAATTTGCTTTCAAATAATCTCTTCCCGCATCATAAAGGTTGCAGGATAATTTGTACTGCCTTTCAGCTGACACATTGGCATCACTTCTTAATGCTGAATTAAAGTATATAATTCTATATAAAATAGTTTGCAGGAAGTGTATTTGAGGAACAATAAGTGATGAATCAGGATTTAAAACTAGTATGCTTAATATCCAGTGGTTCTTATTTGCCATGAAGTTGGCTTCAATTTACAGTGACCCTGTGAATAACAAAACTACAGAGCCAGGCTTAGGTCTTGCAAATTCAGGGCCATGACTTTCTTGATTGAATCAATACATCTTTTATGTGGTTCTCTTTTCCCACTTGCCATCTAATTTGTCAAACATTATCTTCCTCCTTCACCTCCAATGTGTCACATTGCCTTGTGACATATCCAAAGTAAGACGTCTTCAATTTAGTAATGTTAGCTTCTAGTGAGAGTTCAGGTTTAATTTTCTGTCAGATCCATTTATTTATCTTGGTGTCTGTTGAACACTCTTCCAGTAGCCCCTTTTAAATAAGTTGATTCTCCTCTTGTCAACCTTGGTTGCTGTCCAGCTTTCACCACCATGTTCTTCCTATATTAAACAGCTAAGGCAATGTTTCTCAACCTGGGGGTCCAGACTGGGTGGCGGGGTCACGAGGGGGTTTCAGAGGGGTTACCAAAGACAATCAGAAAACATATTTCTGATGGTCTTAGGAACCCCTTTGGCAAAGAAGGCCGAAAATCTCTTCATCTGTTTTTTTTTCATTTTTGGAAACAGACGGTGAATTCTCCCACCAAAACCCTCCTCCATTGTGATTGGTCAGCCTCTCAGCAAAGGGGATGGCTGTTTCTGAGACTCTAAGCAGGGAGGGGAGAGCAGGTGTGCTTGGCGCATGGCAGCATGATGCGTATGTGGGAGTGAGGGAGAGTGTGTGAAGTTGGAGAGAGGCTCGTGCCAGCGAGACCCTTCAAGGGGGTTCTCTGTGGGAAGTCTGGCCCAATTCTATCATTGGTGGGGTTCAGAATACTCTTTGATTGTAGGTGAACTATAAATTTCAGAAACTACAACTCCCAAATATCAAGGTCTATTTTCACCAAACTCTGCCAGTGTTCACATTTGGGAATATTTAGCATTCATGCCAGGGTTTGGTCAGATCTATCATTGTTTGAGTCCACAGTGCTCTCTGGGTGTAGGTGAACCACAACTCCAAAACTCAAGGTCAATGCCCACCATACCCTTCCAGTATTTTCTGTTGGTCATGGGAGTTCTTTGTGCCAAGTTTGGTTCAATTCCATTGATGGTGATGTTCAGAATGCTCTTTGATTGTAGGTGAACTATAAATCCCAGCAACCACAACTCCCAAATGACAAAATCAAATCCGCAACCCTACCAGTATTCAAATTTGGGCATATCAGGTATTTGTGCTAAATTTGGTCCAGTGAATGAAAATACATCCTACATATCAGATATTTACATTATGATTCATAACAGTAGCAAAATTACATTTATGAAGTAGCAACAAAAAGAATTTTACGGTTGTGGGTCATCATAATGTGAGTAACTGTATTAAGGGGTCACGGCATTAGGAAGGTTGAGAAACACTGAACTAAAGTAATAAGATTCAGCCATATCTGATTCATAGCCAGTTAGATTCCATTCTATTTCTCTGCATTCTGCCATAACCAAGACATCTTGTTCAGAGTATACAATATACATGCATGAAGATAATTAGTAATTGTGATATAATCATTTCTTTTAGTGTGAACAATAATTTGTCATGATCTACACAGAGGGTTTTCTGTAATCTCTAAAACAGATTTTATTTCACATATGGTGCATAAAATACTACATAAATTTTAGAAATGCAGAAGATGTTGTGAAATTAACAAATGAAGTGAGAATTGGCAGAACAGATAAATGACAGGATAAATAAAAACCAAATGGCCATAATTCATTAATTTTTGTAACAGAATTATAGAAGCTACCTTGGATCAATTCAGATTGCTCATCTATTAGGTTTAGTATTTTCAACACCTGCAAACGTAGGTGTCTTCACTAGCCTTATTGGGAGATAGCAGGGATTGATCTGAGGATGTTCAGCATGTAAAAGATATACTCTGTATGCTGCAGCCTTTCCCCAATAAAAGATTCTGACATCAAGAGACAGTTTGAGCTCTTTTGCACTACTATAAGTCTTTCTAAAGGAACATATTTTTGCATATGAATAAAATATATGTAGAGCATAAAATACAATATGATAGGTGCAAAACAGCATTCCAGAATAGTTGGTGATCTTAGGATCTGTAGTCCAGAACATGTAGATGACACTGATTTACTCTATTCATTTTGCCAGCAGGCGAATTCTGTTATAAATGAATGATCTTTTTTTCTGGCCATATTGTAGCAGTTTCCATATTTTATTTTTTTCGTATTGGTCTTTTAGGTACTTGTGGACGCTCCTTGCTCAAATGATAGAAGTTGGTTATTCTCTTCTGATATCCAGCAAGCTGCCTTGCGATTAGCACAAAGAAAGCTATTGTCTGCTATACAGATACAGCTGCTGAGGTAAGAAGTATGAACAAAAACTGCCTGAAATTCGGTAGTGCACAGCTTTGGATTGAAAGACATGCTAAACTGTATTTCTGAGGCGCTGTACCCACCTGACCTATATACTCTTCTCTCCATATGCAGCAACTGAGTCAGTCGTCATTTAAGAAAGCAGAAAGCTATGCTGACTTCTTCTGATAACTGCCGTGGTGTATAGAGAGGGCCATTCTGCTCTTCATGCTGAGCGCTAGGCTTGTAACTAGGACAACTAGTGGAGGGGGACAGCAGAAGGGAGGGGAGGAAAAGGAAAACAGGGGGAGTCTTGCACTTGTCTTTTAAAATGCTTCAGTAAAAGCAAAATCCCCAGAGCCTGTGAAAAAATACATCTTTCTAATATACTTTTAAAAAATATATATGTCACTGCAATTATTCAGCTGCTACAAAAAGAGACTAGATTTAAATGGAGCTTGGAAAACAGCAATGTAGTGGGAATTGTAACTCACAGAAAAAAAAAAACACTCTGATCAAATATATCACATTATCTAGGAAGAATTAAAACTTCACTATGGATTTGATGCAGCTTGACACAACTATGATTCTCATGGCTCAACACTGTGAAATCATGGGAGTTGTAGTTTGGTGAGGCACTATCGCCATTTGTCAGAGAAGGCTAAATACCTTGTAAAACTACAACCTCTGAGATATCTTCCTAAGTCAAAGGACAAGTTGTTACCCTTCCTACCCTCCCATTCCATTAATCTGAATTACCAATTGAATTTTACTTCAGCAGTAATGATAGGAGGAGGATGACTGTGCTGTCGCACCCAAGCTGCTTTAAATGTCTTTAGCACCAATGTGTCCTGACTTTCTATCAGCTTGGGGATGCTGGATTGCCTTCCTGTTTAAGCAAGGAACCCCACAGAATCAATGTCCACGCTATTGCTTTCAAGAAATGATAACGATTTAGTAATTGGTCTTGGGGCTATCTCCACCCAAGCACTATCTTGATTTCGCCACAACAAAGTCCCTACTTAAAGTATGAAGGTAACTGGTTGTTTTTGAAGCTGTTGGTTGTGGATTATTCTGAAGATGAAGGAAAGCTGAGCGTTTTCTTTGCTCACTTTCTCTGGTAGAGGAGCCTCTGGGGCGCCCAATGCCCAAAGTGGGAGGAATAGAGAGCAAGTCCTTCCTATTGAGGACTGGTACCTTGCTGAAGGCACTGGAAACTCCACAGACTGTCACTGTCCAGAGGTAGGCCAGTAGAGTCGGATGAGTTCCCAAATTAGTGAGTTAGTTATTGGCTTGAAATGGCTTATCCAAGCCTGGATCTTGCTGGGACCAATTACAGACATGTCTTGCTTCCAAGATTACCAGGTCATAATGACCTTAAGGTAAAGCTAGCTCTCTTTCCTCGGGCAAAAGGGTGGACAAATGTATTGATACAAACCAGGAAGGGTTTTCTCAAGCTCCAGCCTCATAAAACTAACAGAAAAGTGACCATTTTCAAACTGTGGGTGAGGCAGGCAACAAAAGGAGCTGGACAGTTCCATCACAATGACCAAAATGGTAAAAAAAAATCTGAAAACATATGAGGACCAGCTTAGAGAACAGGATAATGTTTAAATGTTTTAATATGTATTAATTTTAATTTTAAATTTGAATGTTTATTTTAATTGTATGTTTGTTTTAAAGCATTGAATAGTTGCCTATATGTAAGTTGCTTTGAGTCCCCTTTGGGATTGAGAAAGGCGAAGGATAAATAGGGAAAATAAATAAATATGTTTATCCTGGAGAAGAGAAGGTTAAGAAATGACATGATAGTTATGTTTACATATTTGAAAGGATATCATATTTAGAAAGGAGCAGGCTTATTTTCTGCTGCTCCAGAGATGTAGACATGGAGCAATGAATTCAAACTACTGAAAAAAAAGATTCTATCTATGCATCAGGAAAATTGTCCTGATGATAAGAGCTGTTTGATGGTGCACTGGAGTGTGATGAAGTCTCCTTCTCTGAAGATTTTTGAAAAAAGGCTGGAAGACCATTTGTCAAAAATACTTTGATTGTGTAAACCTGTATGGCAGGAATGGGGTTGGACTAAGTGGCCCATTTGGTCTCTTCCAATTCTTATGATTCTAGAACAGTATTTCTCAACCTGGGTGTCGGGACCTCTGGCAGGGTCGCGAGGGGGTATCAGAGGGGTCGTCAAACACAGTATTTTCTGTTGGTCATGGGTGTTCGGTGTGTGAAGTTTGGCCCAATCCTATCACTGGTGAGGTTCAGAATGCTCTTTGATTGTAGGTGAACTATAAATCCCAGCAACTACAACTCCCAAATGTCAATCTATTTCCTCCAAACTCCACCAGTGTTCACATTTGGGCATATTGAGTATTCATGCCAAGTTTGTTCCAGACCCATCATTGTTTGAGTCTACAGTGCTCTCAGGATGTAGGTGAACTACAACTCCAAAACTGAAGGTCAATGTCCACCAAACCCTTCCAGCATTTTCTGTTGGTCATGAGAGTTCTGTGTGCCAAGATTGGTTCTATTCCATCATTGAGGGAGTTCAGAATGCTCTTTGATTGTAGGTGAACTAAAAATCCCAGCAACTATAACTCCCAAATGACAAAATCAATTCCTCTCCCCAAACCCAGCAGTATTCACATTTGCGTGTATCAGGTATTTGCGCCAAATTTGGTCTAGTGAACGAAAATACATCCTGCATATCAGATATTTACAATGTGATTCATAACAGTAGCAAAGTTACAGTTATGAAGTAACAACGAAAATAATGTTATGGTTGGGGGTCACCACAACATGAGGAACTGTATTAAGAGGTTGCAGCATTTGGAAGGTTCCAAGTCTTTAACTGTCCTTGAGTGTCCTTGACCACACAGGTTGACTGGATACAGGAGAGCCTGAGTGGTATCCCAAATTATATCCTCTAGCAAAGGCATGCTAGTAGCTGCCATTTCTTATTCTTCCAGATTTTTGTGCCTGCTGCACATGCCCCACTTTGTTTAATATCTGGGCTGGTCCTTGTTTTTGTGCATTCCATGTGAGAGCCGTTCAGCAGTGGAACTCTCTGCCCCGGAGTGTGGTGGAGGCTCCTTCTTTGGAAGCTTTTAAACAGAGGCTGGATGGCCATCTGTCAGGGGTGATTTGAATGCAAAATTCCTGCTTCTTGGCAGGGAGTTGGACTGGATGGCCCATGAGGTCTCTTCCAACTCTTTGATTCTATGATACTATGATTCCACTTTGTCATCAGTAGGGCTTGGGTAGACGCTCTTCCTTTTTGTGGTATAGGTATAACCTTCTATGCTTCATTTGGGATTTCAGCCTTGCTCAGCAGTCTGACACTATTAACCAAATCTATGCAGTTAAATGACTTGTCTGAATGACTTACCTAAATTTCATGCCTGTCCTAAGGAAAACTCACACCTCTGAATTAAGTCTCCTCAGTTTACAGTTGCTTAAATTGCATCTGTTGTTTTATGTTTTACAAAGACAGGTACAAACGATCAGATATTTTAAATGAACAGCCTCATAATACAATAAGGATATTGGGAGAGAAGAAATGGACAAATTAAGCAAGGTCTCTCGGCCCCTTCCTCACTCATTTTCCCCTGCTTTATGTTATTTTATGGTTATTGATCAAATACTAAAGCTTTATAATGGAATGCTATCTTTTACCTCAGAAGTATACCAGCTGTCAGGATGAATTTAGAGAGAAATAAAATAGTTTGTTTTCCTAAAAGTAGTGTTCTTTATGGAAAGCTCTCCTAATGGCAGTGCAAGTGTAGGTTTGGTTGAAGTGGGGAGAGGTTTTTTTGCATGACTTCCTCAGGAAAAGGTCTAAAGGAAGCTTGTGATTTATAACCGAAATATGAGTGTCTTATTGCAGTAATGCATCATGTCACCCATTTCCTTCTGAGAAATCAATCACATTTAAAACACTGACCTCCCTCAGTTTTCTTTTTTCAGGATTTGACATGTGAAATCCAATTTCTGAACTCCAAGCTCAAAGAAACATACATCATTCAGTGGATTTTTTTTGCAAATTTGTATAAATCATGCTAGATTATAATCCTCAGAGGAAACATACTTGACAGCAAGAACCGTGTTAGTAGAGAAAAATCCAAACAAAACAATATTCCCAAGAACAAATTTAATCCAATTTCGTCTGCTATATAGAGGGGAGTGGGAAGGGGGGAGTTCCAAAGTAGGTGCAATGCAGCAGCAACAGCTGCAAACCAATATCGTTTCTGCCAGAGTTTTGAATATTAAATATCACTGAATATTAAAAAGGTCTACTCTTTTTTTCATAACCAAAGCAACAGCACATAGATTAATCCATTGTTCTGTATCTCATTTGTGTTGTGCATCTTGGCTGAAAGAAATAAACACAAGTTATTACTACCATAACATTAGTAGTAAGAGTATAATATTATAACATTTTATCTTTTTGCCATCAACCAGTAGGACTCTGATACCTTGGCTTGTAGATATTTAGCTTAATATTATTTCAGAAGCCCCCAGTGATGTAATGGGTTAAACCCTTGTGCTGACAGGATTGCTGACTGAATGATCAGTGGTTCAGATCTGGGAAGCAGGGTGACTTCCCATCTGTCAGCCCCAGCTCCCCGGGCGATATGAGATAAGCTTTCCACAGGATGGTGAAATATCCAGGCGTCCCCAGGCAACATCCTTGCAGACGGCCAATTCGCTCACACCAGAAGCGACTTGCAGTTCTCAAGTCCCTCCTTACACATAAACCCCCTATTTTTTCACCTATTTCAAAATATTATGGAATGTTGCAGCGAAATCATGATTTTTTTTGCCAGGACCAAAGTACATGTTACATTTTATATATAGCATGAAAGTAAGCCTCTGTTTATTCAGCAATGAATGCACAGATCCTAAATCTAAGAGCTGATTGCTAAGTAGTTAATGTGTACTTTGAAACTCAATCTCTCTTCTCTTTGCATATTTCAGTTCTCTCTAACTTTCTCATTCATGACAACCCTAGTTTCATGTAATATTTTATTCATATGGAATGCATTTGTCAAACTGTGCTGGCCACAAATCATATCATGCATTCAAACCAGAAATGTAAGCTAAAGGATCTTCATGGAAGATTTCAAGATGAGTTAACGTGAATGCATGAGTAGATGAAGCAGGTTAGGTTCTCCCCATTTATTTGAAGAATGGTGGTCCCAAGGGACAACTTCCTCTGTTCGTACATTTGGAACCCACACTGTTCAGGATGAGGATGACTGCACATGAGGAGGTTTAAACTTCCCAGACACTCCTCTTCCTAAATTTGTGTATCCAGCTGCATAAAGGATTGGGGGGTAGTGGTGGGATCCCACTGTATTCTTGGATTACATGAAGAACCTTTATTCAAAGAGGTTCTTCTTTTCAGACTCATGCAAGCTGAGCAACAAAGGAAGATGTGCTAATCTTCTCCATAAATTTAAGTAAACCTGTTTTGAATCCCAGAACAACACTAGTTTGAACTTGAATTTCAGTTATAGCCTGGAGACCGACTATTAGCCATTTTTGGTAGTCATAACTTTATTCAGTTCAGGTAGAAGTTGAGGCACAGCCAAAGCTCTAACGACCTATGGTTGAACTGTGACTTCTGAACTAGTCATGCTACTTCGAATAACATGAAGAATCACAATGGTTCAAATCTTGATTTTCCCAAAAGTTTTAGATTTTTAAAAGCAGAGGCAGGAATCACATAGAGGTCCCTCCCAGCATTTCCTTGCAGTTAGCTTTGCTGAATGGGGTTATTGAGAGGTAAGTCCAGCAATATTATGAATTATCACTACCCCCAATTTGAAGAATAGGACACTAGTATTAAATACAAATACTATTATAAAATTTCAAGCACGGGTCCTTTTTGGATAACATTTTATGCATAGTGGGTTGGCTAGAACTACCTCTCCCTTTCCACTCATGAGCAGAACTTTCCTGCAGAATACTCCCACCAGTAGACTTTTAGCTATGATTTAAGCATTTATTTGTTGTTTGTTTGGAAAGTTAAGTTGTAGTCCTTTGTGTTTGGATGGAATCCCATTAGGGGGCCTTGCTTTTGAGTGGACATGTCTAACTGGACTGCTAAGCAATTGGCTAAAAATCATTTAATTAGTCAATTATTTGAAAGCCAATATAATCTGAAGCTGTGGTTCCCAACCTTTGGTCCTCTAGGTGTTTTGGACTTCAACTCCCTGAACTCCCAGTCATCTTACATCTTACCATCTGTTAGGATTTGTGGAAGCTGAAGTCCAAAACACCTGTTGGAAACCACTGATAGAGAGCAGTGGTTCCCAAACTTTGGTTCTCCAGGTCTTTGGACTTCAACTCCCAGAAATCCCAGTCATCTTACATCTTACCATCTGTTAGGAATTGTAGAAGCTGAAGTCCAAAACACCTGTTGGGAATCACTGGTCGGGAGCAGTAGTGTCCAACCTTTGGTCTTCCAGGTGTTTTGGACTTTAGCACTCGGTATTCCTGAACATTGGGCAAGCTGGCTGGGGCTTCTGTTGGGAAGACCAAAGGTTGGACATTACTGGTCTAGAGAGAGAGTTACCATGGGCCATAGATGCAACTTGGAAGGTCCAAGTTCAAATGTCCACCTAGTCAGGAAATTCACTGTCAGAGAGACATAGCAGTCAGAGCTGTTAGAAGGATAAATTAATGGAGAAGAGCCATGTTGTGTCATGCTAATACAATTTCAGAAACAAACCTCTGCAACAACTACTCTCTTTCCCTCTCTGGCTGGATGTCTCCTGCCTGTGATCCTTCTTTTGTCTTTGTAACTTGAAGACTCTATTTGAGACTCTTATATATGTTTACTGGAACAAAATGCAATTCATACAGTGTTGTAATCAGTGAATCAGGACTGAAGACCGACAGGTCGCAGGTTCGAATCCGGGGAGAGGCGGATGAGCTCCCTCTATCAACTCCAGCTCCTCATGCGGGGACATGAGAGAAGCCTCCCACAAGGATGATAAAAACATCAAATCATCCAGGTGTCCCCTGGGCAACATCCTTGCAGACGGCCAATTCTCTCACACCAGAAGTGACTTGCAGTTTCTCAAGTCGCTCCTGACACGATAAAAAAAAAAGAATCAGTGAATCATAATTATAAATGTAAAATGTGAAATTACCTCAAATTAAAATATCATACCAAAAGAAGTAAATTGGGTAACAAAACAAACAAGCTCGGCATTCTGCAAAAAGAGCTTCTAATGGCAAACACGAGATGGCAGCGTTGAAGTGCAGCATGGGGCTCCTGTCGTTTGTCCTGAAATTTGTGTTATATCATACCAAAAATATCATACCAAAAGAAGTAAATTGGGTAACAAAACAAACAAAAAGACAAATGTCTGTGTAGCTGAAATCCGTTCAATCAATTTTTTCCTATTGAAACAATTTGAAATAATTCCTCTATCAATCTGTCTATCTATTTTATATCCTACATATCTTCCAGCATGGGGCCCAAACAAAATTCAGCTACAAGCAAATAACCAAATAATTCTTATTAAAAACACACGGTAACAGTTTCAATCTATTTGAAACATAAGATAAAACCACAGTGCACCACTTTCAAAACATCCTTCTGCATCAGGATTTAAGAATCAAAGGCTTGCCTAAATCAAGCCTGAAATGCTGTTTGGTGCTCACTTGTTTTTATGTAAGAGGGCACATATCCCCAGCATAACAAGAGGAGTAATATGTATTGAACCTTCTGGTACTGCCCTTCAGCTTCCCTTGTGCCACCACATTGCTTTGCTTCACAGGCATATAGTAAATTGTGCATTGTGGATACAGGAGGGATTTTCTGGCCTTTTCAGATTGATTTTTGCACGAGGTGGGGGACAAAAGCCACAACCAACAAATATAATTGGAGTAGCTATGATGTGCTAGGCCAGGTTGATCTTTAAAAGGAAAACAAAATCTATGATCACTTTCAAAAGAAGAAATACGGGGATGAAAGTAAATGTAATTTCAGCTGCTTGAGCGACTCAGAGAGGATTGCTTTCCCACTGATCAGAACGAGCTCGGCATTCTGCAAAAAGAGCTTCTAATGGCAAACACGAGATGGCAGCGTTGAAGTGCAGCATGGGGCTCCTGTCGTTTGTCCTGAAATTTGTGTTCCCAATATGGAGAATGGCTAAATTAGTGACATAATTAATGCCATCTTCTGAACAGGACAAAGTACACGTAATTAGTCACTGAAAAGTGGGCTCCGAAGAACTGGATTTTGCAACTATACCAGTATTGTTTCTCTGTATATACACCTTCATCTGTATGGCGATGTTCCGGAAACATTAGAAATATATTTCATACGCAGAAGCTTAGAATAAAATCTGTTTATTGCCCAATTGATATCAGTTTTTCCAAGTTCCTTGAAACATTCATTGTAATGTTTAATGGTTTTTGTTTTTTATTAGTGGAAATTTGGAGCCCTTGAGTACTTCACTTTATACTAGAAAAGGTGAGATACACATATCTCTTTCCCAAAAGGCTTAAAATTATCTCACATTTAAACTCTTTGGCTCTTACAACAACCTTGTAGGACCAGGTTATAATGCTAATCCTATTAATATTGGGCATGTTAAAATTAGCTGTACATATATTTAATTAAAAACCAGTGGACCAACTTAGTCTTTCTGTTTATTCCAGTAGGATGAAAGCACAACTAGCAGTGCAAATCTATGTTTTTGCTCAGATATGTCCTACTGAATTTAATAGCATTTTTTCTTAATGGAATAGCAGCATAAATTTATCTACAGAATTCTTCTCTGTCTCCATTCATGTTTCTGACGTTTTTAGTCCTTTTCTCCCTAAGTAGTTATCTCTATGTCATAGCCATAACATAGGCATAGAGAACATCATGATCTGCCTTATATTTACCTTAATCCTTACCTGTTGATATATTAATTCTATGAAATGTTAATTCAGTATAGATCTTCAACTGAATGGACCTCTTTCAAATGTAGTACAACAAGCTTCATTGATGGCTAAACATTGTGGTTAATTTCCCCCTAAAAGAGTGGGCAATTTTTCTTTGTCCAGCTTGTGGAAGAGCACAGTTGCTCACACATCAGTGATAATTTCTCAATTCAGCATCTATGCATCCCCATATTTTTTATCAAGTTGGTAACATCATAAAATGTTAAAAAAGTGGATTTCTTTTGAAAAGTGAGATATGTACCATAGTTTCTGCTTTATCATTGGTACTACACGCAGATATGGACAGCATTTGTTTTCTCCTTCTGCATGTATGTGTGATGTATGTGTGACACTATTCACTGTGTAACACTGATCTTCAGAGATCCCTGAACTAGTGTTGGATTTAGGACAAATGAGGCCTCGTGCTAGTTAAGTTATGAGGCCCCTTACTTGGGCCATATACTGCCAGCTTTGTGGCACCTATAAACTCTAGCATTATGTCTGAAATCACTCTGAAACAGAAAACCTTCAAATTTAGAATTGCACCACATAACAAAACCCATCATTCAAAAAAAATGGCAGGAAGATCTACCACTACCATCCCCGGGTCAACGGAGCCCTGTTTATGCAAACCTAAGCACAGTGGTAAATCCAGCACTGCCCTGGACAATGTCAGCATTACAATTATAGTAGAATACCATTAATAAAAATCTCAGAGTTCTGGTATAATGGAGGACTTTATCAAACTAAAATATATATTTCTTGGTTTAAGGATGCGTTTTTGTACTGATAAGACATTTTGGAAGGTATTAACCTACAAAATTCAAAATGCTTTGCATTCATTGGGTGAGTGTGTTAACAAGTGTATAGATATGTTTTGCAAATGCTGGACTGTTACAAATCACATAAGATGACATGCATCTTATTGCAAGACAACCTATTACAAAATATACAGAGAGAGTATCTCCAGCTCAATCTTTTTCTCCTTTGCTTACAGGTCAGCAGTGAAAGCCTTGCGTCCTGGGGGGTATCTGGTTTATTCCACATGCACTTTGTCGAAAGCAGAAAACAGTGATGTCATCACTCACATCCTTAACTCTTGCAGCAATGTTCTCCCGGTGGATATGGGCCCCTTGGCCAGTTCAGTATCCCAGGAATTCACATTTGCTCCATGTGTCCAGCCTCATGAACTTATAGTACTACCACAAAGGGGAAAAGCATGGGGGCCAATGTATATATCTAAATTAAAGAAAATATGATTCATATGACTCCTGGCACATATTGTGGTGATTACATAGAAGCAATCACAGTGAAATTATGCATGTCAGCTCTGGGGCACTTATATATCCTTGTAAATAAATTATTTGCCAGTCCAGGTTAGAAAGATTTGTGCTTTGCCATAATCCACACAGACATCATGGGTTTGAATGGGAAAAGATCATAGCTTTTATGGGGTATACCTGTGAAAGGCTTGACCATATATTGGTCTGGACTTATGTTCCAGGGTTTGCAAGCTGTCAAGTGATGATTCCCAGCCTCATTGCTGGGAAACACATGGAGTGGGGGATATGAAATTCTGTGTGTATGAGCGAAAGCCATGGGGATCTCTGCCATCTGACAGTGAGACTAGCCACCCATCCCCAACTTTGGTGTGAATCCTGTTGCCCACAAGGGTCCCATAGGGGAAAACTCAACTCAGTCCGACAAGTTGAGCAGCTCTGTCTCCTCCAAAATTGTATCTATTCTCAAACACAAACCTTCAAGAGGTTGTGACTGTCTTGTGAAACTGGATAAGATGAATCAACAAAACTATGTCCCACAACATAACAATAAATGGGTAAGTGGGTGGGATCAATGTTGGAATCTGATTGGCAGAATAGTTTAATTCCCCCCCTCCCCTCCTGCACACACACCCATAGAGTTGGATGAAAAGTTAAGGATGATTGCGGAAAGCACAACCTTACATGATCAGCCTACCTTCTCACTGGTGTAATTTTGAGCCATCCGAAAGCAAGGAAAACTGCCCACACTTCTGAGATTATGGTAGTGCTAAGTAGTCCTCCACATACTGAATGAAACACTGTCCTCCAGGTGACTCTAGGGCTGGATAAACCACAGTTGCTTGGAGTGCTTTCCCTGGCCCATCACCTTTTAGCCCCTACTTATTCCAGAGCTTTATGATCAGATGGACAAGAGCCACAGAAGTCATTACAATTTTTCTTCCTGTTCCTACTGCTAGCATTGTGATGTGATTTTAAAAAGTGGATTGTGTTGAAAGGCTCTCATAACAGTAGATTGCCAGAATAAAAAACTGCTTTGAACTTGGCAACTACAAAAGAACCTGAAACTGGAATGACAAACATACAAAATTCTGAGTCTTGATTTCCAATCATATAGATTTACCCATAGTCATTATTCAAATTGTTGAGGTCTCATTCCATGTTATCCTACTCTCCAAACGGCTGCATACAGAGCCAGGTCATTAGCTTTTTTCTAAAAACTAGGAGGGATGGGGCTAGTCTGATATCACTGGGAAGGGTGTTCCACAGCCAAGGGACCACTACAGAGAAGGCCCTGACTTTCCTCTCCACCAGTCGCACTTGCGAAGTGGGTGGGACCGAGAGCAGGGCCTCCCCAGCAGATCTTAAAGCTCTGTTTGTATAATTAAGGAAGATGTGTTTGGACAGGTAAGTTGGACCAGAACCATTTAGGGCTTTATAGGCCCAGGCCAGCACTTTGAATTGAGCCCAGTAGCAAACTGACAGTATACAAGAGAAATTTTTTTTAGAAATTACACTATTGAGCAAATAACCATTCATTTGTATCTTAAAACTTGCCTGCATGTAACCTTTTTGTGAATTAATAGTTCTAAACAATACAAAATATCAAAAAATGCATGCAACCAAAATTAAATCCTACCACTTAAGTATCTCTACAAAAATAGAAATTATTATTCAGATGACTTAGATTTTCTTTAACGTGCATCTTAAAAGGTTTGACAATATTTGGAGGCTTAATCTTTTGTGCAGAATTATTTTCGTTCCATTCAACATCAAATGACTGCCAGATTTCTTTAAATAAAAATGCATTTATATTTCCACCCAGGAATGTACTATTTTATTAAGTAGTGTGAGATGGCAAATTTGCATGAAACGTGGTTGTAGTTTGCTTTTAGAGTCCCTTTTCCAATTCAGAAACAGGCTCCAAAAAGCTCGCTATGCCATGTTAAAAAGTAATAAAAACATGTTTTTGTATACTTTTTCTGTAACCCAAAATGGCATATTGCTTGAAGCCTGCTACTCTAAAATGTCACTTCCATTTAGCACTAATCCTTTTGGAAAAAAAATTGGCAATGGAAAATAGAATCAGCTTATGCTACTTTCTTTGATTTCCCTCTTTCACCCTTCATGCCAGTAAGTTGCGTGTTATATATTTTCTTGCAGTCTGCACCCTTGAGAAAGCAATTGCTATTTTGGGGTACATGTGAGTAATACTTTGTGCAGAAAGCGGTCAAAGCTCATTGTAGGATACTTTCCTAGCATCTCCACATAGGAATGGCAAAGAAGTCAAGCTGGGCAACTGCAGCTACTGATACAACTTGATAAAAGACAACTTATATTGTATAGAAATGAATTTCCAATGCCTTTGAGCATTTCATTCAGGGATCATCTGAAGAATTGGTTAGCTGGCTTGCACGTGCAATACTGTCCTTATTTACAAAACCTAATGCTGCAATATATGTTTAGTATTTAGAAAAGGGATCTTTGAAAGCATCTATTTTTACTGAACTGTATTTCCCATATTCTTCAACACTAGCTATCATTACTGGGAGTTGCAGTCCAACTTATTTGTTGTGTGCTTTCAGGTCATTTCTGATTAATGGCAACCCCAAGGTAAACCTTTCGTGGAGTCTTCTGATATTGAAAAATTTGTCATCCAAGGTCACTTGATTGGCTTTACCCACGGTCCAGAAAAGATTCAAATCCTGGCATCCAGAGTAGTAGTCCAACACTCAAGCCACTTTACCATGCTGACTCCAACATATGGAGGGTCACAACTCCAGTTTTGAAGCAACTTTCCAGACTCTGATTATTGCTAATTGTAGACTAACTGGAGATCCCAGTGGCGCAGTGGGTTAAACCACTGAGCTGGTGAATTTGCTAACCCAAAGGTCGCACGTATGAATCTGGGGAGTGGGGTGAGCTCACGCTGTTAGCCCCAGCTTCTGCTAACCTAGCAGTTTGAAAACATGAAAATGTGAATAGATCAATCGGTATCAGTGGGAAGGTAACGGTGCTCCATGCAGTCATGCTGGCCACATGACCTTGGAGGTGTCTACAAACAACGCTGGCTCTTCGACTTAGAAATGGAGATGAGTGCCAAGCCCCAGTCAGGCACGACTGGACTTAATGTCACGGGAAAACCTTTACCTAGTCTCTTAAAAGTCTGGGTTTAGTGGGTCTGACTCTCAAGAATCCAGAGAATTGTAGCCTGAACTGTTTCAGACTGGAAAGTCATCTGTCCTGGTGCCAATGGATTGGACTGGGTTTTATGGGCAGGATCCAGCAGAGAATGGCCATTTAGTTAACAGAAAAGGGTATGGAGACATCAGAACAACCTCCTGTGCATCCCCCCAAAACCTTCTGGCAGGGCTTGGAAACCCTAGAGGAGGCCTGGTTTTGTGTCACGCCTCTCCCATGAGATCTCAGTTCTACAAGGAGAAGGAAAGGGATACAAGCAGAGATACTGCAAGCAGGACAGGCAAGTACCATTGTACTGGAACTGCAGTTGGCAAGGTAGGTGAAATACAAGTCCAAGGTGACTGGCATTCAGTATCAGCTATATGTCTTAAAAGCTCCCTTAGCACTCCCAATTACAAATAACCCTCAGAATACATTGGAAAAAAGTAAGTACCTATCCATGTTTATGCACAAACACAGAAATAATAATAGTTTAATTTGAAGAGCAAATTTTTCACAAACATCTAAAACAGTTTTCCACCTACACCACTATTACAGATAAATTCTCAGAATGGATATAGTGCTACAGCCTCATTCCAGGATCCAAATGCTTATAGGCTTAATAACTGAGTACACATTGTCTTCCTCAGGGCAATCCTATCCATGTCTGTCTTCCCAGAAGATGGGTGGACAAATGTCAGCGTGCTGGAAGAAGCAAAGACCATCGGCATTGACGTTCCTATGCCATCAACTCTGCTGGACTGGCCATGTTGTCTAAATGCCTAAACACTGTCTCCCAAGGCATTTACAATACTCCCAACTCAAGAACAGGAAATAGGAAAGGTAATGTTGACAGGCAGGAAAAGAGATTTAAAGATGGGCTTAAAGCCAATCTTAAAGCTGTGGCATAGACACCGAGACCTAGGAAGTCCTGGCCCTTGAGCACTCTAACTGGAAATCAGCTATGAGCAGTAGGCTTGGGCAATCCATGGTTCTAAATGGTTCTAAAGTACTTACAAAACTAAAGTTCTGGTGGTGAAAATTTCAGAACTCTAACAAAACTCTCAAAATTTAATTATTATTTCATTATTGGTTTTTATGATTTTTATGACAGAACCAATTAGGAACTACCATTTATTATGAAATTTTGAGAGTTTTGTTAGAGTTCTCAAATTTTCATCACCAGAACTTTAGTTTTGTAAGTACTTTAGAACCATTTAGAACCATGGATTGCCCACCTTTTACCAGCAGTGCTGCAGAATTTAAAGAGGCACAAATAGAGGGTGTTAGAGAGAAACATGTCAAGAGGAAGGTGCATCAAGCCAACCCTGACTGGGACCACCTTCCACCTGGAAATCTATGTCCTCACTGCAGAAGAACATGCAGATCAAGTATAGGGTTTTACAGCCACCTACAGACCCACCACCAAGACCCTACACTTGGAGGACCATCATCCCTCGATTGCCTGTTTTTTTTTTTAATTTTTAATTTTGGATAACAAAACAATACAATATGAACCTTAGCATCAAAAGACAATATCAAAAACTGATTACAATTTTTATGTCTAGGATACAGGTTCCAATTGTGCTTCCCTTAACCATAAATCTTGATTAATCACCCTTTTAAAAACCCCTCCCCCACCCACCCACCCTTACCACCCTCTCCTCACCTCCCTCCCACCCCCATCTGGGTTACTTGAATCAATTCATTGATTTAATTGTCTGGAAGGCCTGATTTAAAGTTCTGTACCTATCTTTTCCTTCCGTTTTTTCGATTAAACAAGACCATTTTCTAAACCAATCTTGTCT